GTAAGGTGCTGAGGGAGAGAACAGAGCTGAATAAAGGGGTGGCTGAAAAACTCTAAAACAATGCTTGTCTCAGAATTGGCAGGAGAAGAACTGCTGGATGAATGTCTTCTGAGGGCTCATGGGAAAAGCAGGAGTAAGGTGCTTCAGCATGCCAAGGACTTGATTTCTACTCACTCCCACAGCCTTGAAGATTTCACTGGTGAATTCAAAGAGCATTAAAAAAAATAATAGCAATAAAGTTGCCATCCAGTAGATTCCAACTCATGATGACCCCATGTGTGTCAGAGTAGAACTGTGCTCCACAAGGTTTTCAATGGCTGATATTTTTTGAAAGTAGATTGCTTCTAGACACCTAGAAATTTTCTTACCTGCCCTTCCAGGTTGCCTGGGTTCAAAGAGGCAATTTCACAAGAGACTATAATTAGGAGTTATAGTTTTTGCTCTGTTCTTTGTTTTGTTTTTGCTATCTGAGAATAGAAAACATCCTCCCTTATAACGTGCCATGTTTGTTGAAGGCCCACTTCGTGTCAGGCACTGTGCTAGGCACTTTTCACACTATTTTACTTAATGTTCATAGCAACTTATGAGTTTGGTATTATCATTCCCTATTTTTAGAAATGAGAAAAGTAAGGCTCGAAAAAGGTAAGTAATTTCCCAAGTTTATTTACACAGCTGGTGAGGCTTAGAGCTGGAATTGAATATGCTGGATGTCTGAAATGAATGTGGAATGTGAAAGAAAAGGTGATACGGAGCTTTGGAAGGTAGATGGTGATATATGAAAAGGGAGAGGGCCGTGGGGTATTATTAAACAATTTCATGTAAATAGTAGATTGAAGTATTGGTCTTCTGAGCTGGGTTCAGAATAGTTCATACCCAAGGTTAGTATGTGAAAGGAAAGGCCAGAAAATGTCTCGAATTTCCATACAAAATAAGACCAAGGGTCCCAGAGAGAAAGAAGGGAGAGGTGGTTTTGCTGGAAAAAAAGAATAAGCATTTTAAAAGCAGCTGTGATTTTGTATATGCATATATAAAATTTTATATATATATATAAAATCACTATATGTATACATATACATATATGTATATATATATAGAGAGAGGTGTGACACTGAATAATAGAGTGTGAACCCACAGTGCCTGCTCACATCCACAGGCACTGACTATGAGAAAATACCAACAACCACAGAGCCACAGGGATGCCATTTACGGATAAAAGCTATTTTTGAGAACAAGAAGCCTCCAGGTGAGATTATTACTCTTGTTAGGTGTCTCTGGGAAGTATATTAAGCGTTTAAGGAGGTATATTCAATTCTTTTAGATCTCTACATTATGTTTATTGCAATGGCAATAATGACATGGTGCCCTTGGCTTCCAAAGTGGGCTTTCTCAACTCTGGGTACTGAGCCCTCCTCTGTGCAAAGTGCTGCAATGAGGCTGTGAGGGAGACAAAGGCCCAGGCCACACTCCTTGTTTATAAGGAACTCATAAGCAAGTTGGGGAGACAAAACACTATATATATATATACACGTATATATATACACAAAATATAGTCCAGTATATAGAAGTCCCTGGAAGATGCTAACAGTTGAGCGCTTGGCTACTAACTGAAAGGTTGGAGGTTCAAATCCACCCAGAGGCACCTCAGAAGAAAGGCCTGGTGGTCTACTTCCGAAAAGTCACAGCCATTGAAAACCCTACATTCAGTTCTACACTATGTGCAGTTTTGGAATCAACTCAAAGGCAAATGGTTAACAGGTTTGGTATATGTGCCAGGTGGAATATAGTCAGTAAATCCTATATAGGGTTGGGGGAGGAAGCTGCAGTTAATCTACCTTCAGTTAAGTATTCATTTATTCACACATTCATTCATTCATCCATTCACAAAATATTCATTGTACATCATTACCACCTTTCTATATACAAAACAGGAGCCCTGACCTATTAGCACCACTGTCAAATAGAGTTAACACACCCAGACTTCTCCTAAAATGTATTAAAAAACTAATCATACCATGTTAAAATTTTAGAGCTGAGAAAGAACCAAGCAACTATCAGTTTTATTAGTTTTTAACATGAGGTTGTTGATTTCCCTTAAGAATTCCTAAATATATAATAATAATCGTATCTTGCATGCAAACCACGATGTAGGTACTACTATTATCTCCACTTTACAGATGAGAAAACTGAGCCTCGGAGTGGGTAAGTGACTGTGTAAGCACCTATGCACACACAGTAAGGGGCAGAGGCAGGACTCAATCCCAGATCAAGCCAACTCAAACATTCACGCTCTTTTCTACTTGTCAATGTTTTCCCCTTAAGAAGCCCTAGTGGCGTAATGGTTAGCCACTTTGCTGCTAACCAAAAGATTGGCAGTTCAAACTAACCAGCAGCTCCATAAGAGAAAAGACCTGGGAGAAAGACCTGGGATCCATGGGAGAAAAGATCTCCTCCCATAAAGAGTACAGCCTAAAAAACCCTATGGAGCAGTTAGTTCTACTCTGTCCTATAGGGTCCCTCTGAGTTGGAATTGACTTGACAGCACAAGCAACAACAATACTTTGTCCCCTTGGGAAATATGGATCCAACAAAACGGGATCATCTTGGTAGGAAACCAGGAATTTATTCTAAGCTTCTCATTTCCAGACAAGGAAACTGGAACCGAACGAGTTAGGCCAGTCACTCTGCAATGACGTGTTTGGGAGCAGAAGGGTGTGTTGTAGAAGGCGATAGAAAAATGAGTTGAGGAATTCATTAAGTTTAAATAAATAAATAAATTCAACTAAACAAGATATTCCTTGTGGAGCCAATTCAAGCCTGAAGTATATGGAACATCACCTCCTTCGGTGAAATGTACTATCAAATGGAGAGTAAATCTGGACATTGAATCCTACCAACCTTCCATTAAAAAAATCCCTTGGTCTTAAAAAGAAATTCTAACCCAAAGACATCATTATTATTCAAATGTGTGGAAGTTGGCAGCTTGCTGATATGAGAACACAGGATGCAGATTTAGCTGTAGAAGTAAGAAGGGCATATTACTTCTTTTAATGATGTAAGCTTCTAAAAAGGTAAAGAAGAGGTAAGACAACTACCCTGCAAGTTTATCTACATTTGGGTTCCAGTCAAACACTTCTGATCACTACCCTTGGCAGCAGTTCTGTCCGTTTCTTCCCAGCTGATAGTACCTGGTGTTCTCCAAAGTAAAAGTAATTAATTAATCACTATTCTTTACCTGGGCTCCTTCAGGACAGGACCAAGTGTCTTGGCATCTTGGTATCCTCAAGTACTTAGAAAAGAAAACCTGGAAAATGTCAAGGGCACAGTTTATGACTGTTGGATAAAGCATTGAATGAAAGAATGAGTAAATAGCAACTTAGCAACTATATCCCCAGAGGCTCCTTGAAAGAAAAGTCTGGCAATCTACTTCCAAAAAAAAATCAGCCATTGAAAACGCTATGGAGCACAGTTCTACTCAGACACCATGGCATTCCCATGAGTCAGAATCGACTTGACAGCAACTGGTTTTTATATCCACAGAACTGTTAAGAATTTTGAGATGCCACGGAGATGGAGTTCTATACACATAAAGTTGGGTACCTGTCCTGAAGAAGTGTCTAGTCTAGTTGGGGGCTAGAAATGAACACCTCTGTTAAATGTAATCTGCATGGCCTCTTCTGTAAGGGCACTAGAAGCTCAGTAACAGAGTAGAGGAGGATGGAGCAGATTTGGGATATTTCCTTGGCCTTAAAGAATGAGGAGGATTTGGACGGATGGAGCAGATGAAATCAGGTGTGTAAGAGGTGGTGGTGGTGAAAATTGTGTGTTGTGGGGGGGCGGTGGTCACCAAACTAAGGGTCTTTTGGGCAACATGAGAGATAAGTTGCTTTGGCCAACGGGCCATTTCATGAAACACGGCAAAACCAGGCCCAGGCATTTAGACTATCATGATAGAGCAGTAAATTTCTTAAGATCCCCTCCCCCCCTTTTCCCTGGACGTTAAGTACAAATATAAATGTATCCTCCCAAAGAGACAACTAACATTGCAACTTAATACGTGTACTATCTAAATCAAATAAGGTCTCTTCTAGGCTTTTGAAATGCAAACTCTGGGTTTGCTTTCACATTCACTTATTTATTCATTCCACAAAAGTTTATGGAGGGCCTACTTGAGGTAGAACTTTGTTAGCACCATGGGGGGTACAAAGATGAATAACACTCGGTCCCTATTCCCCAGGAGTTTACAGCTCAGTGGAGGAGACAAACGAGTACACACTAGTTCTTACAACAGGAGGTAAAAAATACAAACACAGGATTGTACGGGCTTAGCTCCCGGAGATACTACATGGAGGTGGTGTGGAAAATTAGCTAGGTTTTTCAGATGAGTTGATTTTGGGACCAGTTTTTAAAACTCTGATGACGTAGAACACGTTTTCTTTAAGGCAATAACTAGGGTTAAGACTCTGGAAGCCCATCAAGGTGGAGGATGTTAACAGTGATCCGACTGGGCTGGAGCGCAAGGTTCCTCAAGGGGCGCAGGGGGGAGCTTAGCTGGGTATAGGCCCAATAACCGAGGCTCGGGCCCGACAGAAGGACGCCTAGCTCAGACTTTATTCTGCATCTCTGCGCTTTAACTTAAGCATCTATTAGGTCGCTTTTAAAACTCTCCACCTTTTTCCTAAAGAGAGTTCTAGCAGTTGGGGGTGGGTATGGGGACCATTTCCTAAAGTCACTGCATAGGTTAAAGGTCTGAGCTGTCCACTGGCGATTTAAATCTCGCACTTCGGGAACCAGAAAAGGAAATATGTGAGGGACGGGTGCGGGAACCCACTTAACAACAACTATCCCCAAATGGTATCTGCTCCTGACGGGACAGGCTGCCTGCTAGAGCCGGGAGCTGGGCGCCCGCGGCGGCAGCAGCCTGGAGCCCCGAACTGGCGGGCTAGGGGGAGAGGAAAAGAGGGAGGTAGAGAGGGAGGGAGGGTGGAAGCGCGAGAGGGAGGGAGGAAGAAAGGGAGGGAGGCGACGTCATGTGATTCGCTTCCCTGCTCCTTTAAGCGTCCACAGGCGGCGGAGCGGCCACAATCACAGCTCCGGGCACTGGGGGAGCCTGAGCCGGTTGCGCCGGGGGAATCCGTGCGGGCGCCTTCCGTCCCGGTCTCATCTTCGCCGCGCTCCCGCACCCCTGAAGTTTTGCCGCGCCCACAAAGGAGGCGAGGGAGGAGGGAGCGTGAGAGGGGAGGGAGCAAAAAGCACACCTTGAAACATTGATTTTTAAGGAGAAAAAAAAGGGGGGGGGCGCAAAAATGGCTGGGGCAATTATAGAAAACATGAGCACCAAGAAGCTGTGCATTGTTGGTGGGATTCTGCTCGTGTTCCAAATCATCGCCTTTCTGGTGGGAGGCTTGATTGGTAAGTGCTAGAGCTGCAAACTTTTCCCCTTTTCTCTCTTTTCGGGCCCCTTCCCTCTTTGCCTCTTGGGCTACTTGTTACAGTATCACTGCCTTGCTTCTATGATCTAATTAGTCCGGCTATTGTGCTTAAGAAAGCAGAGCTCCATGGGGCTCCGTGGGGCACAATCCAGTCTAGTGGCTAAGAGAAAAGGAGGGGAAAAAGTTTTGGCCTAGTTTCAGTATCCACTTGAAAGGAAGGAGGGGGGTGATGGGGGTGGGAATCTTAAGCATGGCGACGGATCGCGCAAGGAAGCGCTTGGTTACAAAGTTGTTTGCTCGCCCCCCCCACACCCAGCCCCCGTGCATTTTCCCGCGTCCCCCCTTTTCCTCTCCGTTTCCTTCCAATCAGCTCCCGGAGGGCAACGTAATCGACTTTATTAGGAACGACAGAAGTGTCGAGGAACTGCGCTCGGCACAAAATCGGAGCCCTGTTTCAGGGTTGTGGTTGTTGCGTGTCTAATGTTGCATTCGGTCGTCTCGGCTGGGGGGTGGGGTGGGGCCTTGCATTTTGGGTCACGACCCTCGCGCCCTCGAATTCCTAGCCGGTCTCCTTACCCCTCCGTGGTTGCGGACAGGTCTGAGCTGTGGGCCGGGAGGCTGAATGTGCTGGGGTGGAGTGGAAGAAAGTCCTTGGCTGGTGCCGCAGGAAGTTGGAGAGGTCGGAGGGGAAAAGCGTATCCGAAAGGTGTTGCTTTTGGCCTTCTGCCATCTCGCGGATATCCTCTCCCCCGCTTCTTAGAGACCCAGAACTGGTGAGTGGAGTCCCTGGTCCTCCCTTGGCTTCCACGAGTGTTTCGCCCCTGCAGCCTACCCTCCCCACCCCCCCACCCCCGCAGGTGACAGCTCCCTGCTCTCGGCGACAGTGTCTGCCCAGGGCGTCCTTCCCGGGCGTGCACCGCCCGGACCCCTCGCAGCCTACGGGCTTCCGGGTGAAAACGGTTCTGTGGACTTTCCATTCGGAAAAACTCGCTGCTGCTTCGTAACTCCCCATCTCCATTCAACCACCCCGACTCTGCGCACTTGCGCCATCCCCCTTTTCACCCCCCGCGCCTGAGATTTAGGACATCCCGGCACAAACTTCACCGCAAACTTCGCAGCGGGCGCGGGTGGGAGGTTCAGTTTTCTTACTTCACGGCTTTGTTAAACTTTACGGAGTGGAGCGAGTCCACGGAGGAGCTTTCTCTGGGCATTCCTTCACGACAGCCCGCGCAGCGTGGGCTGCAGGAGAGCGGCTGGGGAGGGGAGGTGGCCGACGTGACCGTGGGAGCTACACAGGCTTGGGCATCTCAAGTCGTGTGAATGGTGTTTTGTCTCATACTTAGATATGATAGGCACAAATTAAAGGGAGTCTGGTACTGCAATCACTGCAATATCCAAGCTAATTGTTCTGAACAAAGGAGAGTGGGAGAAGCAGCCTCACAGAGGAGAGAAATTTCAGGAAATGGTGCCTTTTTCTCTATGTATGTATGTACCCACGAAGCAGAAAGGCGTTCAGAGTTTTTCAAGCTTGTGTCCTCAATTTGGACCAAACAGCATGGTCTTTTTATTTCTGGAGCCCTCATCCTCAAAACATACTCTCTCTCTCTCTCTCTCTCACACATGCACACACATACTGATTTGCCCTTCGTGTTGCTAGCTCCCATTTGGCTACGTGCAATCTCCATGTTTCCCTATATTGGATTTTTCCAAGGCTCTTAATACCTCCTCTCGCTGGGAGTTGAGGGCAGCCTTCTCTGTGCCCTCACAGTGATTATGCAGCGGTTACAATTACTCCTCTTGTCTCCCTTGATGAGCAGTTGCAGTTAGATGCCATTGGATCTTGTGTGATTTCAGTGGCAGACCATAATTAAAATTTCTTGCACCTTGTGCTTTCAGAATTAAATTGGCCTATTATGCCTGTCTGACCTTCATCCTCTTTGAGGTTTTTGCACAAACCCTGAACCATTATACATGGTTCCCTGGTGTTTGTTGGTGTGTGTTTCTTTTTCTAAAGCTGATCTAGCCTTGAGGAACCCATTAGCCACTGTTGTAGATTTCCTAGGACACTTCTGGAACTAGTGTAATTTCTGTAATCCTAGTGCTACGGAGAAGGACCAAGGGCACCTGTGAATGGCTGGTGGACATTTAGAGTTACTACAGGGTCAGCACACTTATTTGTTCAAATGGAAATTCTGTCTGGAGTAAGTGGTGCCAGGAGTTGTTTTTGCGGAGAACTTGGTTAGTGACCATACTTACTTGACAACAACCTCAAAAAGTCAGTGACAGGTCCTAACCATAACTGTTGTTGTGTGCTTTTGAATCCATTCCAACTCATAGCGACCCCATGTGACAGAGCAGAACTGCCCCATAGGGTTTCTTTGGATGTTGTCTTTACAGAAGCAGATCACTATGTCTTTTCTCCCGGAGAGCGTGCCTCAGTGAGTTTCAGCTGCCAACCTTTTGGCTAGCAGCCCAGTGCCTAACCATTGGGCTACCAGGGCTCCTTAACTATAACTAGATTGCCCTTAATAAACAAACTGCTTTAGTTCCAGTATTGATTTTTTCCTTTTCCAGTATTTCTTGAAAAAGAAAAATATGTAACACTTCTTGGAGGTAATTAGTAACTGCTTAGCTCCCCTCTTTCCTCAATTGCAAAGGCTGTGTCCCCAGTTCTAGTCTGAAGACCGAACAGATTAGATCCAGTCCATGTCACTTTGAACAGTGACCTAGCCTTCATCTTTTCCATTTAGAGAGTAACTTTTTTGCTCTTTATAACAAATCTAGGAATTTGGGCATGCTACATAGGGAAGAAAAGTCAACAAAAGATAAGTGAGATGTTTCCCTGCCGGATATCCCTAGGACACAAATTTGCTTCGGAAGCAATGAAACTGATCAAAGAATAGAGCTTCAACAAAGAGGGCAAGTAGAATCAGTAAGTAGTTGAAGGACCAGTTTGTCGGTTGGAAAGTTAAAGTTCATAAGCCGCCTTGTCCACTCTCCCTACTGAGAAGAGAACTCTTCCATTGCCAATTAACAGGCTAGTTCAGAACTCAGGTGTCAGTGGATGTGAATTGTCTCTCTAATGCATTTGCCGTAGGCCAAGTGAGAAAGTGAAATCTTTGCTTCAAACTGATCATAAAATGTTTTTTTGTCATTACTGTTGTCCCTGATGAAGGTAAACATGGCAGCTTGGGAAGGGCAGGATCTAAATGGCAAAGCTCCTGATTGTAAGGGTATAAGTACTACACATATGCATACACAGAGGATAAAAATACGACGACAACAGACCCCAAACAGAAATGACAAACCGTGTGCCCCAGAGTGTCCAGGCAAGTCGGTTAACCTAACAGCTTCAGTCTCATTGGTAGATTAATGAGTTTAAGGTATCTTTAGGTCTAAAGGAGTCGCAGTGGTACAGCGGTTAAGAGCTTGGCCGCTAACCAGAAGGCTGGAAGATTGAACCCACCAACCTTTCCTTGGAAACCCTGTGGGGCAGTTCTCCTCTGTCCTACAGGGTTGCTATGAGTTGGAATTGACTCGACAGCAACGGGTTTAGTTCTAAAATTTTTTGACTCTTTCGGTTTTATATTTAGACTGGTGTTTAGTTGCAGCCTTCTGGAATTGATGGGGGAAATTTAAACATTAAATATAAAGCAAATAGGAGCGATTGGGTTTTGGCGTAGCCAAGTTAAATATTCTTTTATGCCAATGGTTTTCTTATGAAAGTTTTTTTTTTTTTTTCCCCTTATGCCAGCATCTATATTCTGCTAAACCTTTAGTGGGGTTTTGCACAAATCTCTGGAAAGCAATATCTTATATGGTAGAATTTGGAATATTTAAAAATTCACTGAATTATATAAACCATGCTTTTGTAAAAACATTGAGTGCTTATAAAATCATGCATCTGATTGTTTTCTTATGTATTTATTGAGAAAGCCTCTTACGTAGCTCACCTCTTCAGTATTTCTAATTCATGTAGACATTTAAGAACCCCTGAAAGAAAATAAAATATTTTTAAAGATGTAGCTTAATCTTTCTCTTTCTTAAAAATAAGCCTACAGAAAATTTTAAAAAATGTCCTTTGATTTCACGTTTGGTCAATTTAGTTCGTGGAGAGGCAGCTGCAGGGGTGGTGGGGGTGGCGGGGGGAAGGAGACCATGTGCCTGAAGCCAGAGTGCAGCCGACTAAAAATCATGGACTTGAATCCCTGGCCCATTATGTGCAATTTTCTCAGCCTCAAATTAGTGATGTCTAGGGGGGATATTATGGTTGAGAAAGCAGGTCACTGTTCCCACCTGTTCTAAAACTATTAGGGTATGAAGATCAGGACTGGATGAATAAAAAATTAGTGCATTGTTTTAAGAATACCCATTAATGAAAATATTTTAAAGCTAGATTCTAAATAAGTATCAATAAATCACCAATTTTTATTTCTTTAGGAGTGGTTGCTGTTTCTTTCAAAAGCTCACTTATGTGAGAGGTCTTTTTTTTTAAAAAAAATGCTGAAAAGTGTGTGTGTGTGTGTGTGTGTGTGTGTGTGTGATTTCTCAACTTGTTTCTGGGATTTATCTACCTGTTCTTTGTATAGTCCATAGTGTTGTCTTATTACTGTTTAAGGAGGAGTTATTGCTGGCCTTGATTGTTGTAGTCCATTCATGTGAGTTTTTGTTTTTGCTACTGTTGGTTATTTGTTGAGTTGCAGAGTTTTAAGAAATTAAATTTATGTGTAGTATATTGGAATTTGCTTCCTAATATATTTTTAAGCTTATTGTAGTATTCATTTTATTTTGTAATCCTGCAGAGTTTGAGAATCTGATGGGAATCTTAAAAAGCACTAATTAATTGGTCTTTGGCTGATGTTAGCCCACATTTTTCTGTATTTAATTTTGCTTTTTATTTCGTAAAATTTCACATTTGACTGAAGCCATGTCGTTTTTTCTCTTTGCTAACCACCACTAATGTGGTTTGTAGAAGTACCA